CATTCAGAATCAAATGTAATACTTAAAATTATACCAAATAACCCCACTACATTTTGAGCTTCTTACATTCAATTCTAAACCCATTTGAGAAATGTCATGACTTTCTGTACATCTGCAAAACACATTTAATTTTCTATTCATTTAAACCTGCTATATCATCTAGAAGCACACCCACTTGCTAAACAGTTCTGGTTAGGTGTGCTCTGATGAGGACACCAATGGAAATCCATGATTTCCCTTAAACACTTTTTAAAAGAATATTTATTGCTTATGCTAGGCTGGGATAAAATCTCACGTAGGACACAAAACCTGTTCCACCTGTAAATCACAGATGCCTAAAATACTTGTTTTCCATGGTGATTCTGTGTATTTCACATCACCCCTCAGTCAGCCAAACAGAGGCCTTGCCTACAGAGATACTGTTTTCAGGGATGCCTGCTTAGATGTTCAAGAATCACCATCTCAGAGCACTAAATCATGTCTGACTCAGCAAGTTGGGAGTGCAAGACTGTCCCGACTTCCAAATGCAGGTGTATTCCCCGACTCCTGAACAAGTTGTATGCTGCTGCTAATTCGCTCTGTTCAAATTTATTTCGTTGGGATTCATACCTTTAATGCCCCCATTACAAACTGTAACTACAGGAATTTATCCCAGATTTAGATTCTTCTGCATGCAAAACCCATCATGCCAGGAAACGCAGCCATTTTAGTACTTTTCCACATGTTTTTAAAAAGTGTACCAACTTTGTTTAAATTGTAATGAGCTAGCCTCCTTTTTGTGCCTCAAATTCTAAAAACTACTTCTCTTCCTGTAAAGTTATTACAAACTTAAAACTACACATGAGAAAAATGGTTTTCATAAGGCTGAAGGTCGGACCTGGGCTCTGAAATGAGTTCTGCACCCATTCAGTTTTGCCAGTTTTTGCCACAATGCAAATTGTTGGAAGATCAATGGCTGGAACTACAGACAACAATATATCGACAAGAAAAGGGAAAGGCACAGCATCACTTGCCTGAACAGATTATTTACAGGTAGAGAAAGTTTGATATCATGAAAACATTGGAGAACTCATTTCAAAAGGTTCTGTGCTCAGCTCACTCATGGAAAACAAGATTTCACCACCAAAAATTGTCTTCTTTCTGATTTGATTTTACAGTGTCAGAATTTGCTTCCCCTCCATACCATCTGGTAGGAATTTAAGAATAAAAATCTTACCTTGTGAGCAAACGAACTTCTCTTAGGAGAATGATTTGGCTTAAGGACTAAGTGCAAGATTACATTAACGGTACCAACACAAACAGAACAAATACACAGCCACGCGAGATGCGTTCCCAAGACCGTGAATCCGTCCCAGAAGAAAGCCGGAACGACCGCTGTGAGGATAACCGAGAACACGCAGAGGAGGTTGGCAGCCAAGAGCCTCCTTACTTCTACTTTCATCGTGTTATCGGTTAGCCGGCGCCCTG